AGCCTGGCCTTAAACGCCTCCGGGGTTGGAGCATTCACAAAGCATACCAAACAAGATAAAAAAAAAAAAATGCACTGGAAGCAGGCAGCTACCAAATCAATCACACTTCAGAAAAAACAGGGTGGTGGAACTACCGAAATGTGCTTTGTTTCTTCAGAACCTTGAAGAACTATGCTGTGAAGCAGAAACCTGCACCACCACTTAGGCAATGCAGTCACCTTCACTAGAGCTTTGTTTCTTTACTATTTGTAGGGATTTCTGCTCTTTGAACCCAAAGTAGCAACAAAGCATCTTCTAGGGTGCATTACGTACAGTTAAACACTGTCTAGATACAGACAAAATTTTAGCCAGATCTGACAAAATGTTTCACTAGCTTTTCTGCAAATCTATGTTGTTCATTTATTTTCATCAAATATTGGCCTATTAGAATGACAGATGCAGTAGTAAGTGTTCTACAACTTCAGACTAAAGCCTTTTTTATTTGCCACCTACTATATCTATTAAATCATCAACTGCTGATTAGCTAGAGGGCTAATCTTGAAATGTCACAGTTAATCTCAGTTCTCGCTTTAAAAAGTTAGGATTTCCTTCTGCATGCAGTTTTACATTGCTGGCAGATGAAAACATTTGCACTGAATTTTCCTAATGAGCAAACATTGTTTATGACCCTATGCAAACTTGCTGATGGCTTACTTTAGCAGCTCTCTATTTTGAGGAGTCTCCTAAATGAACTGGCCATATAGAGAGCAAATTATTTCAGCAAACCACTCTAAAGCTCTCAGTTGTTGATCTGAGTGGATAATGGACTGGACATCAGGAGAGAGTAAGGAAGTGGGAGATTCAGCATTATTTATCTCCACTGGCAGAAGCTGAGATTCAAGGTTCAGGAAAAACTAAAAGAGAGATGTGAGAGGTCTTGCACACAGCAAGACCCAAAATATTTTTATTTCTTCTGCTACACAAGAAACCCTGTAACAGGAAGTAAGTTCTGAAAAATCAAAAGGAAACACAAGGCATCGAGTTCACAGTAGTTCGCATTCATAGCCCATGGGGTCAGGTGTGGAAAAAACAGCTCTGCCAACAGTCTTGTGGGATTTTGAGCACATGCATGTGTCTGCATGCATACATACATACATATATATAGTTTCCTAACTAAGGGTTTTGCTACTTACTGAACTTCTTCACATCACCTAATTTTGGATAATGGGGAAATGCAAATTTTCAAATGCTCAAAATCAAGACCAAGTCATATTTGCTGGAACATTCAAAAGCATTTCTCAGGAACACGTATCTTTATAGTACTAGAAGTTTCACTTCACACTAAACCTCCACATCTATGAAACATAATTTTAAAGCAGTATTCTATATTAACAATAAGATACTTGATTTAAAATTTCTGCCCTCCCCCCAATACTTTTACTACCTGCCCTACCTCAGCAATGCAAAATAAGAAAATTTGACTCCAGGTATATATAGCTCTTGAGAGTTAATTCAGAACTGTGCATTCAAAATTAACTACACTGATCAATGCCACCACAGAAATGTTTGTTAGACCCTCATATTAATCATAAATTCACTCTGTTGAAGTCCAGGCCAATTCCATCCGATGCTCTGCCAAAGACCAATGTATTGCTGAATTTAACAGTTTTAGGATTTGCAGTTTTTCCAGGATGGATGACATTAAATAAATACTTTCTCCCTGTTCCTATTCTGATGATAATTCATCCTATATTCTGAGATTCCTGTACAGCACAGTGGCTACCG